TCTAACTTAATTCAGCTTATTTTCATAGTGATAATCCACTTCTAAGGGAGCTGTAGAAAATAATCATTCCTGAACAGCATGTTGACAAGAACAGGAACCTTTTTAACTAGAAGAAATGTGCAGCAGAACTAGAACCAGGCTCAGGAGGGGCAGCCATGCATGTAACTTTACCTAAAATAATCTTTTACTCATAATGAAGACTGTAGCTTTTGTTGCTCATCTTTCACCATCAACCCGTCATGTTCCTTTGGTATCTGATACCGAGCCTATAAAAAAAAAGATCTGGCACCATCAGGATGGACTGACCTACATTACATTCAGATTTTTTTTATCAACACATTTGTGTTTCTGTACATGACATTATTTACTCTGACCCTGGTAGGTAATATTGTCTTATTTAAGATAAGGCTTTTACAGACTGTAAGAAAACAAAACCCTGTCAGACAGAGACAGAACCATTACAGTTGTTATTCTGAGGTTCTGGTGCTGAAATGACTGATATCTCTATCAGCACACAAACAGAACAATATGATAACACAGAGAAGTTTTGGAAACTAGAAGCTGAAATGGGAAGGGTGCAGTTAAAAGAGGACAGGAATGACACAATCATAGCCGTGGGAACATGTTTCTTGTGGTACTAACCCAAACATGAACTCATTTGACTTAAATATTTATTATCAAAAAATATGTTTGGATTTTAAATTTACAATAGTGGATAGTGGTTTTACCTTATTAATTCAATCATTCATTGTGTAAAATTCTGGGCAGCACTATTGTTTTCCATTTAAATTTTTTAAATTATTTTGCTAGCCTTTTGCTACTTTTAGTTCACAGTATGCTTATAGCTTTTAACTAGCTGTTTGCTACTTCTAGCTATTCAGTGGAGGATCTAGGATTTTTCTGAGTAAGGGGCCATTAAGGGGCCACAATATTCATAGAGGGGCCAAGTATTTGTTCAACATCATTGTACATAAATCCTCGGTTTTGGTAAGGTGTATAAATTTAAGCGGCCACATGTGTTCCAACAATTGTAACGTAATGTAATGTTATTAAAAAAGCTTAAATTCTCCTGATCAATGTTACATGCATTTTTACTGTACATGGATAAAATATTGAGAAAATGTGAGAAAATGAAGCCATTTTTTGCCAGCTGAAAGATAATTTTTGCAAATTTTTTCAAGTCTTTTAAAGAAGAGAAGAAGACTGCTGTCAGATTGATTCATGCTAGACTTTACTGTTTGACTCATTAGCGCCTCTAGTGTTTGGACATGGAACTGCAGCCACCATCATTGCTCTCAGGCAAAGACAGATGAGTGACAGGACAGGGGCACTTCAGGGGGCCAATCAGATTTCAGTAGGGGTCAATGCCCCTGTGGCCACGCCCCTGTAACTATTATATACTAATTCACTATGTTTAGGTTTTATCTGGCGTTTTAGCAAGGCTTTTGCTTCTTTTAACTTTTATCTTTTAGCTAAAGTTTGGCTACTTTTCACCTAAACAATACAGTTTTAGGTCCTTCAACACTCACTGTATTTTCACAAAAACATACAATTCTTTTTTTTTTAGTTTTGACACATTTTAATTCTTGTCATCTTTAAGGAGGGTGCTGCAGCGCCCGCAGCACCCACAGACTTGGTCACAAATCTGTAACCATCATGTTTTTCCTTTTCCTTAAACGACAACACTACGGTTCTCGCTCTTCAGCCCTCTACTCGTCAGCAGTGAGGACTGGAGGTGTTCTTCAGGTGGAGGTCATGAATCTCAAGTGGCTGCAGATTAAACTCATGTTTCGCTTAAACGATTACTCAAGATAACCTCCACAGTAACATTGCACTCACTGGAGTGGAGCACAACAATCTGTAGTTCCCTCACAGGGAAGGTGGAGCAAATGGCATCGCTCAGTAACTCTGCAAGAAAACAGCCACAACCGCAGGTACAAGCCCGGCGACGGTAGCATCATTTAAACAATGTGTTTTACTAAGAGGCTGCATTTAGAGTCAACTATGAGTTCGCTGCTTAATTAATCCCTTCAGGGACAGACTGAAACACCCAACAAGATAAATGCAATTAGAACAAAACGCCTTTCCTCAGTTCCTCCTGTTTTACATCATTAATTATACAAGGTTAGTCTTCGCCGAGTCTCTTTCAGCGAGGCGGAGTGGATCCCCCATGAGTCTGGGGGGGATGCGCCGCTGTTCTCAACCAGGGAGGGCAATGGAACAAGGTCACACTCCATCACGGGAATACAGCAGCGGTATATAAAGTACTTACAATAAATATTTAAACACAAGTAAAAATATCTTAACAGAAAATGACTGGTAAAATTGATTTTACTGATAAGAAAAGTACTTAAACTGTTCACAATAATCTGTAAAATAAAGCATACTTTTTTACACACACTCTAAAAAGTGAGGTGTTGAGTTTACGCAACTAAACTAGTTCCACTAAACCGAGTTGATTGCTTTAGATTCACTCAACTCCATTTAGGGGAACCAGCAGTGGCGGATCTAGGATTTTTCTAAGTAAGGGGCCATCAAGGGGCCACAATATTCATAGAGGGGCCAAGTCAGTATCCTTGCACACAAATCCCTGGTTTTGGTAAGGTGTATATACAGCTTACACAGTAATTTCTCCTTACCAATTTTACATGCATTTTAATGTACATAGATAAAATACTCTCAAAGACAACATGCGAGAAAATTTAGTCATCATTGGCGAGTTGAGAAAATTTTTTCTGCAGGATTGTTCAAATTTTAAGAAAAGAAAAAGACCTCTGTCGGCTTGATTCATGCCGGACATTTCTATTGGTGTCTATTGTTTGGACATGGAACTGCACCCAGCATCATCACTCTTGGGCAAAGGCCAGATGAGTGACAGGACAGGGGCACTTCAGGGGGCCAATCAAATTTCAGCAAGGACCAATGCCCCTGTGGCCCCGCCCCTAGAACCACCCCTGGGAACCAGTAAATTCAACACTTCATTATTTGAGTGCAGTAAATCTTAAACAATGAGTTCCGGATATTTAAAATATTAATTGGTGTTAAATTTTAAAGAAGTAAATCTGTCATTTATGTTTTGAATGTAACGAAATGAGTTACGATTAAAAAAAATTTGGTAAAATTACAAACCCTCAAAATATAGCTGAAAAAATAACAAATAAATGTATAGTAACTATACACTTTTGGAATACAGAATCATATTAATACATTACTCCATGTAGAAACACCAGGCTTCTCCTGAAGTTGTAAAATATCTGGTTCAGTCTTTTTTTCTTTTTGTTTCGCTTTCTAAATTTTTTTTTAGCTTAAACCATTTTAGCTTCTTTAGCGCTATTAAGCACTGAGCATTCACGTTTTTTTTTCACAAAAAAAAAAAAGGCATTTTCTGGAGCTATTTTTGCCACGATCATTCCCACTGCCCCTTTTATCACCTCCCAACGCTTCACCGTGCGAGGGCAGAGAGGAGAGCGACATTGTCGATGACCTTTTCACCTCCAGAGGCCTCTCTCTGAAAGCCACACAGAACATCACGTGACCAGCAGGGGAGACTGAGGGACACTGCTCAAGCTGAACACATCCAGTTTAATTCCCTTCACCGCAGGACGCACATATGGGAGGGGGAGCTCAGGTTAAAACCCTGCAGTAGAACTGATGAAGGGTATTTAAAAAAGTGCTAACACTTAAAGAAGCTCCAATTTTAGGACATTTCAGGACAGGTCCTGGATAACTGATGTCAAACTTTGACAGAAATTTAATCGCTTTAGGTACATATATATATTTAGTCTTGAATTTTGGCAAAACCAACCATATTTTGTCAAGTGTCCTTAAAGGTTGTGAAAAAAAACCTCCTCCTGTTTGGGTGCGTGCTTTTAGAAAATCTAGACAAACGCTTTTGAATTAGTTAAAATCCATCTTGAATGTGTGTCGTCCGGTGAGCTCACTGGATTTACAGATGGCTCACATGTGACTGTCGCACCAGAACCGTGATGCGAGCTCCTCGTGCAAATCTGTCCGTCAGCTGATCACCGAAGAGCTGACGATTCTTACATCCACCAACAGACTCACAGGATAACACTTGGTTTTTAAGGGTAATATTCCAACAAAACCGACGAAAGTGTGTGCTAAACTTGTCCAAATCCAAAGAATAATCTGCAATGATGAAGTGTTTTTTAAAAGAATTTGTCATAACACAATAAAGTGCCTGTGACATCAGTTTTTTGAAATAAGTGCATTTCTGGACAAGAATATTGATAACATATTGCAAAATAATAATAATAATAATAATAATAATAATAATAATAATAATAATAACAATAATAAAACAGGAAGTGATGTCAAAGGGGAATGTCTGCTTATCAACTGTGTCCAAATTCAGAGGTTGGGTCCTTCGAAGGACCCAACCTGCCCCAATCTAGGTGGGCCGGGTCCTTTGTGGACCGCGACTGGAAAAAAGTGGCAGTGAATTTGGACAGTCTAGCCTTCTGCTTTATACCAGACCTCGAAATGAGCAAAATATCAGTATAATATAAATATCACAAAACAAAATTAGCTTAAAGGCAATTTGAAGAACTAAGGGACGTGCACGTTTATTTCACTATACCAGCTCGTTTGATTTCTGACAATGAGGGCCGAGGAGGATCCACCCGTCCCTCAAATCGAGGAAAAGGGGACAAATTGTCGTGGCGTAAGCAGCCGACAAATTCGGCCTTCGGAAGACGCAGCCCCTCAGTTTGGACACAACCAAAGAGCTCCCCTTGTATGTCACTTCCTGTTTCATTTTGGCTGATGCAAATTAAAAAAAAAAATACGCCAGTTATGTGACAGAAAGGGGTAAAATAATTTGTATTATTTCAAGCTTCCTAAATATGAAAAATGCTTTCTTTGACTTTTTGTATTTGAGAATTTGCACATCGCGGGAACTTTGAGAGGCTTCAATTTGACTTAACATGCATGTCAGGCCAGAGAAAACTCAAATATGACAGATTAACACCAAAAACACATTTTTACCACAAGAGAAATAAAATGTTTATTTTACCATCTTTTTTTTTCCTTCTTTAAAGCACTAATAATAAAGTCCTGCAGATCATCTGCAAAACAAATACAATAGTGTTTCTATCGGGTTCACCCTTTAACATTTTGGAATCAATGTAGTGATAAAGAAAGAAATATTTAAATTTGAGTCAACAGTAACAAAGCCAAACAAAAATAATAATTAAAAAAAGGTTGTAACAGAAGACTATGACCACGTGAACCCCTGTAATGTATTCTGAACAAACACGAAACATATGGATGGTCATTGGGGCTTTTGTTTGTTTTAAAGCTGATTTATAAAATATTTATTCCAAAAATCTTAATTCTATGCTGCGTGTAGTAAAATAAAATAAGATAAAAACAAGAAACAGATTTTAAAGCCATGTTTCAGGATGAAAACTGACTGCTCAGTGTTGTAGGTTCGGACACGTCTCAACAATAGTTTAGTGTTTTTTTTTGTTGTTTTTTTTGGATTTCTGACAAAAGAACTAGAATGAAAAAAATACAAAAAACAAACAAAAAAAAAATAGAACATACGTTTTAGAAAGGCATAGTGATAAAAAAAAGTCTGAATATATAAATTCTATGACCTAGGACAGCACATTTCCTCATGTATACTGTACCAGCTAACAAGTACCGGCAAAGACATTTTTCATAAAAATGTTTATTTATTTTTTGGTCCTGTGTGAGTGTTTTCTTTTTTTTTTCTTTTTTTTGTGGAAAATCTGCACGGCGACAATAAACCTGCGCTCAGGTACTTTGTGCTATTCCTCCAGCCCGTTTCCCGACAGCTCTTTCATTCACAGTTTTGAGAGCATAAACTCAACATTATACTTCAGTTTCATTTTCCTTCATTGTGTGGAGAAGGGACCTGAAGCTCTTATTTTGTTACCGTTTCCAGATTTTGAGCGCTGATCTAGTTCACCTACTCAGGCTGGATCTGTTCACACTTATAACTGATATGTTAAATAAAATATGAGAAAAATATATAGATTTTTTTATCTAGTGTTATATTGTTTTAATTTTCTAAAGGATAAACAAGACAAAGCTAATTCAAAAGTGACAAATAAGGTGTCATTTTTGTCCGACTGTGGCTTGAAGCTAAAAAAAAAGAAAAAAACAAACAAAAACAAACAAAAAGAAAAGGCCTTGTCTAATGTTTGTCCTCAGTAGCACTTTCTTCTTTATGTATATATGTACAAATAAATCTGCATTGAAAACACCCCACCAGCTGAAAGTTAGTGATGCTCAGTCTGCGGGGGGCCGTGACTCGCCCCCCACTCGTACGGCGACCTTGGAAGAACTTTTATGTCTACGTTGTTTACTAAAGGAGAGGCCCCCCGATGAAGAGTACTGACAACGAAGGAGATTTACATGGTGTATAAAAAATAATTAAAAAAAGAAGGTTTAAGGGCAAGTGGTTATAAATGGCAGAGTGTGAGACTGGTTTTGGCAAATAAGCGTTCTGGTGTGCATGTGCGGCCCTGGAACAAAAGGCTGATGTCGCCGGGTCGTCTCGTAACCATGCAGCTTGAAGACACGTAAACACGTAGTTGGAACGGTGTGTGCGTGGGTGGTGTTCACGTCGGGTCTCTCACACGCACTCCTCCGCAGACATCAGCAGGGGGTTGATGTACTCGAAGCCTTCAAACTCAGACTGGTCGATCTTCTTCACCACATCCCTAAAAATAACAAAAGGATTGGATTACAAAAGAGAAAGTAGTAAGAGTAAAGTGATCTGTAAACCGAGCGCAGATGAAGAAGCAACTCACTCGTCGTCCGGCGTGAGCTGGATGGGCTCGTTGGTGAACTGGGCGTCGAAGTTGTCCAGTCCAAATTCCCCTGAGATGTTAGGTTTGAATGGAGGGACCACCTGCTTCTGCTCCAGCTGAAACAGCAACAGATTAAAAAACAGGTATTAAAAAATGAAAAACGAATGGAATCTGTGCAGGTTTTTGGATTTCAAAATAAAACTAGGAAAAAAAAACCCACATCGAATTGTGTCTTTTTATTTTTTATTAGGTTTTTCTGGTTTGAAACTAAATTAAAAACAATTGCAAAATTAAACAAAGGAAACGTTTTTTTCCATTTGTTTTTATTTCAATGGTTAAAGCAAAGACAAGCTTTATATTTTGTTAGTGCACTACTTCAGGGTTCCTACAGTTTAAGGAAAGTTAAATTTAAGACTTTTTAATGCCAAGCGAAATAAATTTTAAGACCAATTTCATAATAAACATAAAAGACAAAAAAAAAACTGTGGCAGAAACTCATGAATCAAAGTATTTTTGGTTGAAGTAATCAAATATTGCTAATAGACCAATTTTTAAATCATATTTAACTGCTTTTTCATCAATTGCAGCAAAAACCTTCTTAGCAGTCAGCTTTAAACTTAATTTAATTTCTGGAAATCCTCTAACAAACTAACATTTGGAGTTTTAGGACCCACAGTTGGGTCTAAACCCCAATTTGCTGTAGATGAAACCTTAAAGTGACATCAATTTTTTGTAGGAAATGTGAATACATTTTTGGAAATACAACATTATTATCATATTAAAAAATTTATTTCATGATGCTCAGATGGACGGTTGTTGAGATATTTGCATGTGAAGCAACAGGAAGTGATGTCAAAGGGGAATATCTGCATGTGAATATTTAAAAAAATAAACGTTACCAAGTTATTTTAGTATTTGAGATGAATTATAATCATCCTATTTACAATGTGTTAACATTTTTAAGATGTCTGAAAGATTGATTTAAGACATTTTAAGGCTAATTAAGGCCTTATATTTGGATTGATGAATTCAAAGGATCTACAGGAACCCTGCATTTGTCACTTTCTATTTTTTTACATTTAGGTTTTGAAAACTGAAAAACAAAATAAAACAGTTGTTTTATTTTTGTAATTTTATTTTGAAATGAAGAATAAAAACAAAGATCTAACCATACATGAATTGGATGCCTCCTTTAGTGGCAGACAGAACACCAGCACGGCACCGCATTCTTTTATCCTCTTTCCATATGAGTTACTCTTTTCTGAAATGCTTCAACAATGACTAAAACCTTTCCAAGTCACTTGTTCCTCCACCTGTTGCCTCTCTGAGTGAATACACTGCTCACTCATGGATCTCTTTCTGCTCCCACTTGTTGCAGTGGTTGTTAGGAAGACAACTACTGCTCCACCTGCAGGCCAGAGGGTAAATTATAGGGTCTGGCATTCAGCTAGGATGGGTGGAGGTGGAGGGACTGCAAGCTGATCCGTCCAGACACTCTGACCAACTGCTGTGTCCCTGCTCCAGACCAAACAGGGGAAAAAAAAAAAAAGAGGTCACGGTGATCCCTGCTGAGCTGCCCGGACTGTCTGTCGTCTGCCAGCGAGCGTACGTCTGCCTCCGGAGGTGAAACGTGACCCTTCGCACGTGGGCAGTTTGTAAAAAGTACAGCCGCTCTTCTCTGCGGGCACTAATGAACCTACACTAAACACAGAAACCATAAAGATCTCAACACATAATTATTTTTATCCTGCTCTGGTCATTGACTAAATGCTTTAAATCACAAAACTACGGGCCTGAGGGAGTGAGTCTATATCTATATATATCAGACAATGTGAGACACGCTCACTCTTTAAATATAATTCATTCACTCATTCATTCATCTGAAAACAGGAAGCTAAAAAACAAACAATTTGGATTAAATTTAGTTGGTATTCTTACGAGTGATCCTGATACAGAACATGTGAGCACCAGCGGCTCTCAGATTTACAGCTGAAAGCTTTTCACAGAGACGAACAGAACTACTGTAGAGGTGAACACCAGTCAAAGGAAAACTCGTGAACGCACTCAGCCGTGGCTTTCGGTATCAGTGACCGAGATTACAGACCGCTGTTTCAGAGGAAGTAGGAGCAGCCTCGCTGAACACCGGAACCTCAGTGGGTAGATCAGAGTTTCATTCTGAAGCTTGAGTGAAACAACAGCTAAAAATAGATTTAATTACAGCTTCTTTATGAATTCAGACTTCCACAGCTGAAGGTTTCGGCTCTATACGCTCCAGCTCTACGATCTGTCTCTAATAGTCGCTCCATCTTTGGCTTGCGTGCCAGCCCATGTGTTAGTCATCCTATCTGCTGTTGTCAGTCTTCTGCTGGGCCGTTTGTTCCCAGCTGCTTGAAACAACGACCAGTCTCAGGCTGTGGCTAAAAAGCCCTCAGCTCTTTCACAGTGGCTACACCTGCAGGCCGTAACAGGAAGAACGGGACCCCGAAATGACAGATATGACCCTCGCATCTTCAACCTACAAAATATAGCAGGCGATTTTTATCTCCAGGATTTGAAATGATAAAGAAAACCAACATAAACGTGAGAAAGGAGGTAAACTCTGACGAAAGAGAAACAAAATAATAATAACAATAATAAAAAGCAGCACATCTACTCACAAGCTCCCAGTCGACGTTTCGGAAGAACGGATGGCCGTTGATGTCGCCAAAGCCCGTCTGAGGGTGGCAGCCCAGACGCTCCTTAGGATCCTGTGGGGGTGGAGGTGAGAGGAGGGTGAGAGACGGTGGGAGAGGACTGAGGAGAGACCACATGTCAAACAACCAGCAAGACTGCAGAACGAGCGAAAAGGGAGAAAATCTGTGAGGTTGAGCTGGAGAGGATTTTTAGAAAAGTAAAAATGTTAAATTCAAAGCCATCGTTTAAAAAAGAGGGATGATAAATAAAATACTGTATTTGAAAGGAATGTGTGTGTGAGCGAAGAATGTAGATTTACATAATGTAAAGTAAAAAAAAAAAAACACAACAATTAGGGATGCAACGATTCATTTGAGCCCTGATTTAATTCTTGATTTTAAGTCCTAGATTACCATCAATTTTAACCCGCCACCCAAAAATAAATAAAATAAATAAATAAAAAACAGTATTTTGTATTTGCATTTTATAACCACACAATAACAGTGAAATTTATATTTCCTTTTTATAAATCGATTCACATTTTAAGCAGTTATAATCGATTAATCGTTACATCCCTAACAATAATTTCTAATTTAATTCTCACCTAAACTGCTTAATGCTTCAATTCTTTTAGTTCAGTTACTTTGTAGGAAAATTAAAAGTCCAGAATGACAAGTAGTCAACAAACTCACTATTTTACATGTATTCATATTATGAAGAAAAGCCCATTATTTAAACTTGTATTTCTCTAATTACCAGCAGGGGGACAATTGTTGTGATTTAGGACCAGAGAAAAAACATTTAATTAGTTTATGGGCCTAAATGCTTTTTTAAAACCTAACAATAATGTATGTAATGGACTAAAATCTACAGTTAGGGTTTAGGAGTAAAATAGGTCTCATTAAATTGTTCACTAAACTGACCAAATTTTACATTTTACTTTCTAACAACCATCTCCAAAAAAGCACAATGACGGAAACGGACAGAAACACAGTGAGAGAAGCGTGTCCACATTAACTAGAGTAAAAAGGAAAGAAATGCAAGAGATGGCAGCAGATTAACCAGGAGAATATGAATGTGTTTTCCAGCAGGAGCAGACACTGTTCAGGACTGATACAGACCCGTCTAATCCCCTCTTACCTTGTTGAGGAATCCCTTGAGAACGCTGGCAGCTTTGACTGACAACGAACGAGGGATTCGGATCTGTTTTTCCAATATAACTGCAGGGAGCAGGAGAGAGAAAAAAACTGACTGACAGACTTCACTGGCACTAAAAACCACAGGTTCCTGACACTGCTGCAGTTTGGAGCCCGGTGCAGATCGCACAGCAGGCCTGTGACAACGTCTTGAATTATGGATTAAGCTGTAAATCTAACACCTTTGTGGCTATTCTAAGGAAACAAACAGATTTTGAGACCATATTTCTAATGAAATACAGGGAAAACACATATTCTCACACCTTTCTCTGCAACAGATGGCACGTCGATGGTACCAACAGAAGCCGTTATAAAGGCGTCAACAAAAAGGTGTTGCCTGCTTCCACGCAGCAGTTTCATTTTCTCCTCCAACGGTAAGTCTTAGAGTGCTGTGTGGGCCTTACCTTGGAAGAGGTAGTCTTCTGTGTTTTGGTCTGGATTGTCTGAGCTGCCGACGATGTCGAAGGGCGACCGGCCCGCCATCATCTCGAACATCAGAACGCCCAGCGCCCACCAGTCCACGCTGAACCCTGAGACGCACAGATGGTCCTGTTATAAATCGTGTTTGTGACACGACTGCAGCAGAACTCAGCCGAGGGAGTTTTAAACAGCATAAATAAAAAGACTGATGTGTTTTACTTTGGAAGCAACGCCTTAGATGATTACAAATTCTCATAAAACTCATGTAGTGTGAATTAAAAATGAACAAACATGACACTTTCCCCATTTTCAAAGTAAGTGCCAGATTGTTCAAATGGTGCAGGAGGAATTAAAACAACAACAACACGTGAGCGAAAGCACAAACAGACGAAAACAGAACAAAAAAACACAAGAAGCGAGGTTGTGGAGACGAGAAGCATCTGTCAGTAACAATAAACCTCATTAAGTCCCTGTTCTGTTTTTCAACCACCTCAGATATAATGTTTATAATAATGTATAACTCTTTATCAACTACAATGCTCAGTTACTTAAAGCCAACAGCTCATGTCATGTCATGTCATTGTCATGGGGCAGGACAATTGTTATCTTTCACCTTTTAAATTTGTTTGGTTACATTTAATCATAAATTTAAAGTTTACCATTGACATAAGAAACAATTTTCCTGTTAAGTAAAAATAAATACGGTAAATAAAATAAAAAATATGTGACCTAGTGGATAATTGACACCCATATGATCAAAATGTGCGACAGCTTTAACCATCAGCTGTTAACATTAATCAATGACATTTATAGGCTGTGTCCAAAACGACAGGCCGGGTCCTCCGGAGGACCCAGACTACCTGGTCGAGGTGGGCCGGGTCCTTGGTAGACCGGGAAGACCGGAAAAAAAGAGGCTGTGAATTTGGACGGTCTAGCTTCCTCTCCTTATCCCGGCGTACGTCATGTCACCTAGCAACTGCGACGACGCTAAACAAGCAAACTTACATCAAAATTAGAAAAATATCAATATATTAGCATTCTTAATATCACAAAACAATAAAATTAACTTGAAGGTAACATTTGAAGAACTAACTGACCTGCCGTAGGTGCATGTTTATTTCGCCTTTTTTTTATGACAAAAATAATATTTAAAAACACGTCAATACAAATGATAAAAGTATTAGGATTACAACTGCTAAAATTTTTAATATTTATATCACCATATTTTTATTTAAAACATTTTCTTTTTTCTCGCTTCGTCTGCCATTACTAGCATAAAAAAAATCTCCAGTCGGGCCGCAAAGCATTATGGGATATGTTGGGCCGGGAAGGATCCATCGCACCAGTCCTTCGATTCGGGCCAAAGGAAGGACGTATTTGTCGGCCGCATCGGAGGAGTCTTCAGTTTTGGACGGCCTTCGTCGCGGCGCAGTGACGTATGCGGCCGATGAATTTGGCCTTCGGAGGACCCGGCCTGCCGTTTTGGACACAGCCATAGACCTCAGTTAGTACTTCTAAATTTAGCAAGTGCTAATCCACTAATACATTTTAAAATTAGCAAAAGCCCTAAAGCACTGATCAGGAAATTAGTTCCCCTATTAGTGCTTTAGGGGAACTGTGCCCACCACTGTACAAATGCAATGCATTTCACATAAATATGTGACGTCAGCTGTTGTTGTGCATTAGATACAAACAGTTGCACAGATGAAGTTAATACCTTCTAAAAGTTGTTATTAAACAGTGCTCATCCTGACAATAAAACAGCTAAGAGGGCAGCTAAATGTTATTTTGTTCATTTAAGTTTTAAATACTAACAAACTGTGCTGGTAAAGTGCAGCAAACGAAAACAATAGCTTTTTTTTCGTGAAACTTGTCGCTATGATACCACTTTAGTTACCAGGGAGTCTTTTTCTATTTTTATATTATTAAACGAGTCTTTGTCCAGATAAGCCTCTGTTGTGATGCAGAAAGGAATATTTAACTGCACTTGAAAGTACATCTAACCTTTGTTGAACGACTCATCAGACTTTCTGAGTCGTGAGAGAAAAAGGTCTTTTTGCCTTCACTGCGTTTGAATTTTTGTTATCGTCACTCCATATCTACGGCTTTTTTTAAACTTGTTTCTGCATTTTGTCTCTCAGACCTACTATAGGTAATCATCAGAGAGCATTTCTAAGTCCCTGCGTGTTGTTATTCTCACCATAATCCTCTCCTCTGAGTATTTCAGGAGCGATGTAATTGGGGGTACCACAGAAAGTGCTTGTTGTGTCGCCTGGTCTCAAACCCTCCTGTAAAAATAAAGATTGCCCGCTTAAAGTCATCTCAGAGGGGGTGGGGTTAACAGACAAACGTGCTTATTTCATTGGTTGCATCATAGAATACTCAATGTGTAAATAACAACAACAACAACAACAACAATAATAATAATAAAACACCTTGCACATTCCGTAGTCTGTAAGTTTGATGTGTCCCTCTGAGTCCAGCAGCACATTGTCCAGTTTCAGGTCTCTGTAGATGATTCCTCGCTCGTGGAGGTAGTTAAGCGCCAGGCTGATCTCTGCCGAGTAGAATCTGTAGCAAAGACAGAAACACAACAACACGTCCACATTAGCTGAGGCAAAACGCTTCAACTTGAACCTGTCATTTTGATTTTAAAAACACACATAAGAGAAACTGTGATTTTACCTGGCGTGCTCTTCTGGGAGTTTTCTTTGTCTCTGCATGTGGAACATGAGATCTCCTCCATTTACATATTCGATAACAAAGAAGAGTCTGTGGAGGAAAAGCTACGTTACACTGTGTTTATGTAATTAGCTATGGACATAAGTAATCACATCTACAAATGCTTTAACTTCATATTTTTATTCATAAATTGTTGATGTAATAAAGAAATAATGTGTAAATGTTTTTTTTATACTATAGCTGGGATTTTCCCACAACCTTAATTGTGACCTCCTGTTGTTAAATATAACTTTGTTTACTTATGTGTGTTAATATGAGCTCCTACTGCTGCTCAAAGGTGAAGAAACACTGTGTGTCATTTTGAAATCCTCATATTGTTTTTCCACGTTTATGTATGACTGGATGGCTCCTGCTCATAACTGATAAAAACATTTAAGGTTTTAAATATCAATCAATAATAACATTTTTTGTAAAAAGCTGATGTTTATGTTTGCTTTCTTCTTGAACGGTGACCTTTTTTCTTCAACAACTGCAGAACGTCACAAGTTTCTAAAGCAACCTTCAAATAAGGGACGAAGTCTCACCTGCTTTCTGTTTGGAAACAAGAGTGAAGGCCGACCAGGAATGGATGATTAGAGGCCTGCTCAAAGACGTGCTTTTCTGTTTGGACCCAATCAATGTCCTGGTTCAAAAAAACAAAAACAAAACAAAACAGACAAATATCAATCAGGAGTCAGCCTAACGTAGTACCCTTGAAAACATAAAAGCTGAATAAGCAGAGTCCTATCGATCGTGCTACAAAGCTTGAGGTTGTGTCAAAGGCGTCCAGTTACAGCAGAAAAGGGCGGAGCTAAGAGAAGCGGAAGCAGGTGCTGTCAACGTCTGAAAGATAATACATCTGGACACGGACGCCACTCAAGCTGACGGAACGACACCAGAGCATCGATCGAGAGGCGCTTGTCAATTTGTCAATCATGCTAAGTGAGCCTGACCAAGGCCAACTGCTTGTGTTTCCACTGGCTGTGCTGCTACACGTGTTGCCCGGGATCAATGTCTGATGACATGATGGTTTATCTACACACGCTTAGCTTGACAGACCTCTTTAGAGCCATCAGTCCTGCTAAGTGTTTCAGAAGAGATGCATAATATGAAGGTTCAATCACGACACGTTCTTTACACTATAAATAACAGCTCCTACAGAGTGCTTGTTCTGTTAATTATATATAAAAACTGAACTTTTATGATTAACTCGTCAAATATAATAAAAGACCAATAAATGATACTTTGTCTCTAACCTTAGTTTGTGCCATCCTGAACAAATAAAAGTAAAAATTTCAGAGGAGAATCAGCACCTCATCGTCGTTGACGAGCTCCTTCTTGACAACTTTCATGGCATAGATGCGCTCCGTCTTCTTCAGCTGCACCAGCAGCACCTTAGCGTAGCTGCCTCTGCCGATGACCCTCAGCAGCTCGAAGTCCGCCAGGCCCAGGCTGGAGGCCGACTTCCCTGTGACGCCGCTGCTCCGCGCCTGAGGGGTAATTAATGCCGGAGCAGAGCATATTGATGGGCATGAAACAGGCATAATCAAACAGTAAACAATCCCGTGTGATCAACGCAGAGTCAATTTGAAATGAATCACCAAGATTTCTTAATATCATTTCATCCATAAATTATTGACAGAGACGATGATCTGGTGTAGACAAGCGGATGATTTCCTTAGGGTGACTTTGTAAATCAGATTGAAACCCCTCCCTGTCCGACTTTTACAGAATAAATCTTGGTAATGATTTTCACGTGCCTAATAAAAACAAACATGTCAATTCCATTAGTTTACACAGCCATATTACAGTTATACTTCTCTGTAAACACGACTCCCACCTTCACCATTTCCTCGCCCATCTTACCTCCTCTTGCACAATTATCTCTCTAGTGAACTATTTTGCTTTCATATCCACTTAACCTCTGTTCCTGTGAGAACCCAAGCCCAAGAATAAGAAAAAAAAAACTGTAGGAAAGATCTTTGATTTGCCCTAAACCCAAATGAAGAACCCCAGACTTTATCCTAAACCAATAATCAATCTTTTAAGCTAAAAGCTGGCGGGGAAGGTGATTTAATTTCCTTGACCAAAGGAAATCAATACCTACCACATTGTTAGGGTGCAAGAATTTTCTCTATAAACAGATACACAACAAGTAGAAGGATCACTCAAATGAACAGCATGAACAAATAGATCACCATCATTCCCTAAATACAGATTATACGCATTTTTTTTCCTTCTTAAATCATTTCTGTCTCTAAAGATGGTTTAACGGCTGAGTCACAAATCCACAGTGTTTCCAAAGACTTCTCTCACCTCTTTCTCCTCTCCGTCAGAATTCAAGCTTTCTCTGGAGCCTTTAATCTGAGGGCCTGAAACAGAGAAAGGAGAGGAATACGAGTGCACAGAAAGTGACAGACACGGTGACAGACATACATAAGGAGAGGGGGAGGCAGGGGGAAAAAAAAAACAAGTGATGAGAGAAGGAGAGAAAGTAAGTGTGAGACAGTCACATGCTTTGTTCATAAGTCGGTGGAGAGCCAGCACAATTTCTCACTCCCATAAAAAAATACACTCAATTTGTTCTGGTGTTTTTTACAATGCAGAAAAAAATGATTTGTTTGTGTGTGTGTGTAATAGTCATGAGTGAACTCAATGAAACGCCCCAGGTGGCCTAGAAGCATCCACAGCCGGAGTTTCAGCTGCCTCTATCAATAGTAACATCAATCCTAAGCTGCCTGAGTTCAGACGACCTCTCACCCACCTGATTGGACTTAAGTCTGGTGTTGCACAGAAACCCCTATATCCAGCTGAACAACTTATAGCTGAAGTGGTTCAGCTGAAGCCAGGAGGCCACTGAAGTCTGCAAAATTATTCTTGAAAAGGCACATTGTTTGTTGTTCTACAGGTTGTATTTCATTTAACATATTTGTCAAATCCAGTAAAAGCAATAACACAACCTCAGAGGTGCCAACCTGGAGCCATCCCAAATCATAATGATTGTCTCAGAGCATCTGCGTCATGCGGCATGCACTTGTTATTGGCAGGTTGTGCACATATTTATCATCAAATAAAAACAAATAATGTGCTTCAAAGTACTCGTGCAAACCTACTTATTTCTAGATGCAGAGATCATAATTAACAAGTGTTAAAACAAAGTTTATAAAATGGGTGTTTAAGAACATAATTTTGGCAAAACAGTACAACTCATTATTATACGACTGTTCAGTCTCAGACATGCAATGAGTTCAATAATTAACAAATA